TTCTATGCTCCTATTCCTTGGGTGCTGTAGTACAGACTTTCACTTTTACCATGATCACAGGATAAAATGCATGCTGTGCTATCAGACTTACCCCACTCCCTTTGGAGAGAAGTGGGCACTTGGTTTTGCTGAACTCTGACATAGTCTGGCTGAAGGTTCCTGCCTGTCCCTGTATCACCTACATGAGTAAAAAAATCAGATCCATGAAAATAACTTATGTACAGTAACATCTAAAGCAAGCTCTGGCAGGCTTTGTACTAACTGTGTGAGTTGGAAGGCTTTCTTGTGGCAGCTGGAGATCTGTAAATACAAATTTTACTTCATATCTGAAGAATCAAAGTAGTTTTTCCTCCTGTGCTTTCTGAACTTCTTCACGTGCTTGTTCAAGTGTTAGAGGTGGGGATTTGTGATTCTTGATGTACTGCAAAAAACAAAACCCAACAGCTTCTTATTAGATCTTCATGTCGAGATCCCTGCACTTTTCTATACTAGCAGCAGAAATTGACCCTTCTGTTGCTGCATTAGGAAGATCCTCATTCAGCTGAGGACAGCTAAATGCTGCACCTGAAAAGCTGCTTTTCAAAATGGTGGCCTCTACTAAGCCTTCAGTCTTTTTTTTAATTACATAAACTGCTAATTTGTGGGTAATATAGGTATGGGAATTATAGTAGTATTCTTCTATGAAAAAATTTTATCTGATTAATAATATGTGAAGAAAATCTGCTGCAAATACTAGAAGCACTGACTCTGGTCTATCACAAATACCTCTTTAGCCTCTTCCAGGGTATGGTAGTGGAACTTCTCATTCTCTAATGACTCCACGAGGGATATGTGAAGGTGATGAATGTTCTCTACAAACTGCTGAGTCAGCATCAAGTGCTGTTTCAACATGGTGTTTAAAGCAAGGGCTGATGGGCTGTATGCTGTCAAGGCTGCAAGACATGGAGCATGTATACATTAGTGATATGTACAGTCAATAGTAAGGGCTGAATAAGTAGAGGTTGAATGCATAAAATACAGTAAAATAATAGTAAGAAATACGGTTTTCAGTACCTTCTACTGCATCCATGCTGATGACGTGACTGACAATAGGTATGGGATCGACGTAACTGTTTCCTACAGGTGGGTCAAGTACGGCCGAGGTGTTTGCTGTGTATTGGATAAAATCACAATTACTGGGGATTGGAGGTTTAGCACTAGAACTTGGTTCATCTTCAGAAGTCTCTTGGGCCATCAGCTGCTGTAGAACTGCCACAGAGCCTAACAGGGAATTCTGTCAGCAAAAAATAAATGCTAAAATAGTTCTAGAATCCCCCCAGCTGCCCCACAGAACCAGCCAAAGGCACAGCTGCCTCCTGAGAATGGGGCTGCAGTGCTCTCCCAAGGAGTAAATAGAGTGCAGAAGAGAACTCTGCAAGGGACAATCAGTTCAGTAACAACACAGCAGTATTGCTTACCATAGTAAAGATACAATCAAAATGCTGAATTCAATCTATGAATGTTCTTCAGGCTATTGTGAGTTCTGTTGCTAGCACCAGCTCATCCACCCAGAGTTCCTGTTGGGTTTGGTTTGGTTTCTTTCATAGCAAAAACTGGTTCCAAGTTCATTAATCTGTTGTCAAATCCCCATCTTTTCTACAGATAGCAGATTCAAGCATCGGGCTTTAGGAAGTGTTTAAGTTCATGTCAGCTGGGGGCAGCTAGTACTGAATCCAAGAACTCTTAACAAGGCATATAAAACCTACAAATGTAAAGCCTGAATTGGGCAATATCTTGTGAACCTACCCTTTGGCCAGCAGTAGGTGAACAGAGTATCCGTTGTCTGAACTGCAGTTTCTCTGACAGTCACTCTGTGTACCTGCTCCTGCTGCGCTCTGGCAAGTCGAGGTGACGATGCTGAAGATGGGCGTTTTCCAGATGATGTGCAGCTCTCCGAATGTTCCTCTGACATTTTTGCTACAGATTCCCTGTCTGTTGTGGATGGAGACCTTTCAAAGTCTTCAGAATACTCTGAATTAATAGTTCTGTCATCATGATCAAGATGATCCTGTTTCTGTCTAGGGAAATCTGCAGAAACTCCACTTAAATGCTCAGAGATTCCAGCTTCAGTCACAGTTTTTTCAACATCCTCATCAGAAGGATCCTTCACACCAGTTACTGCACTTGTCATTCTAAGAGAACCCTGGTCCTTTTCCACCAGGAATGTGTCTTTTTTTGGCTTTCTGTTTGATTCCTCACTAATTTGCATGTGTGTCCCCTGTAACACAAACCAGCTGTATGTTAGGAGAAGCAAGAAAATATAACCTAGAACATACCTCCATTATTCTTCATCTGTTCTGCTGCACATCACTGAGAGTCAGTAACTGAGAGTTTCTACTTTATTAGGAAAGTAAAATGTCACTTTTCTGTGTCACCTTGCAAGCTGTCCAGTGCTGTTACACTGAGTAAGGAAATGCAGATGCTAAGACATGAACTTGGTCAGGTTTCAGTAAAGTCTTGATCTAACCTTTCCTGCCCAGCTCACCATATGAGCAGAAGAGCAGTGTTTATTCTAGAATACCCGCCAAAGAAAGGCAGAAACGTGTGCCAGTAGGGAAGTCCTGCTTACTTGCTGCTTTAATTCTGCTGCATCACTGGTGATATTTGGTGCCAAATCATCAAGGCTCAGGATATTCAGTCTGAAGTCTGAAATCAAATGACATATTGTCAGGAGAATTTGCATGAAAATTACAGTACGCTCTCCCTTAAGCAAGAAAGTGGAAACCAGTACTACATCCCTACTTTGAAGTGTAATACTAAAATGGAATAGCAATCACTCTAAAACTTTTAGTTTTGAAAAACTAAGAAAAAAGAAACAGATCAACATAATTCCTTTGGTGAAGCCTTGGTTTATGTAAAATTACACCAGTAAATCCTTTCAAAGTGAGTCTTTGCCCACGCTCATTAGTCAATTTAGCAGTAGTTAGTACAACTCATGCCAAGTCTACTGAGACAGTATGTTAGAAACCTTACCATCTGAGCTGCTGTTAGCTGAATCTTCTGCATCAGCTGCTTGTGAAAACAAGTCATCTAATGAAGTGATTTCACTTCTGTCACTTTCCAGGGATTTTTGGCTTTCCTTGGTGTTGCCTGTTCTAGGCACAGTAATCTTTACAGTACTGTCTTTCATGGAAGATGACAGCGACAGAGATCTCACGTCATGTCGTAGCAACGTGTTTCTGGGTGGTGAACCAGCTCTACTCTCTGAGTATTTGCTGTGAAGATAAGATGCTTTAGATCCCTCTGTCAGTGAAATTTCCTTGGGAGATGGAGGAGGCATTCCTGATGAAACTGGAGTCCTCCTCTTTTGAAGAACATGAAAAAGAGATTTATGTGTTACTTCATTATGTGTAGATGACTAAAAAGGAAAACAGATTATAATGGGTAAAAAACCAGCAATTTTAAATGTGAATTGAAACTAAATCAGATCATGAGCAAGTCACAAATACAAAATTAAAATTTTATACCTGGTGTTATCTAAATAAAAAGTGACATACCAATTAAAACAATCCCATAAAAGCATAAATAAAAATCCATAATCCAGCTAAGTCTGTATTTACCTTTGGACCCCATTTAGAATCGCTTGCAACAACCTTCTGATTCTCATTCACACTTGAACATTCCATCAATTCTTTCATTTCCTCTTCATCACTATCCAAACCAAGTTGTTGTTTAACACTAACATTCTTTTTAGGGCTTTGGATGCTTTCCTCTTCCTTACAGTTGGCATTACGGAGGGTCATATATCCACTAGCAGTAGCATGAGTCTTTAGGTATCTCTTGCCCCTTGCTCTGGGTTTGTGACTGGAAGCAGAGGAGAGGGACTCCTCATCCAAAGGCTTCTGGCCCAAGTCGGCGTCTGGCACTTCCAGCTGTTTTCTTCGATTCATGATTTTGCTCTCCAGTTGTGCCACTCTGCTCAGAGCTGAGCTTGACCGCGTGTGGGAAGCGCTTCCCAGAGGGCTCTTTGCTACAAGGCTGTTTGCAGCCATCAGCGCGCTTCCTGGCATCCGGCGCCACTGGTTTCCATGCGCGCCTTCGTTGCGCAGCCCAAGCCTGCTGGGGCAGAGTTGCGCTCTCCCAGATTTCTCTGGGTCAAGCGCAGAGAAGTCGCTACAGGCGCGAGGCTGGAGGCTGAGGGTAGCGGTGATGAGCGTTCGGGGATCATCGTGGTGTCTCTGCAAGAAGAGGATGCAAAGAGCCCTCAGAGGCAGAGGCAGGTGGCATGGTTAAAATCACAGACGCAACCAGGTTGGAAAAGACCTTTAAGATCACCAAGTCCAACCTCAAGACCCCAACCCATGGCACTGAGGCCTCGTCTCCACGGTGCGTGAACACCTGCAGGGCCGGTGACTGCAGCCCTGCCCTGGGCAGCCTGTTCCAATGCCTGAGCACCCTCTGGGGCAAGAATTGTTCCTCAGCTCCATCTAAACCTGCCCTGGTGCAGCTTGAGCCCGTTTCCTCTTGTCCCATCACTCGTTACTTAGGAGCAGAGCCTGACCTCCCCTCACTGCAACCTCCGTTCAGGTACTTGTAAAGAGCTGGTTCCGCGCCCAGCTCCCCCGACCGAGCAGACCCTCCCGCTCCCCACAGCCGGGCCCCTTCCCACATCAACCCGGGCCCCGAGGCCGCCCCGGTACAGACTGAGCGCGGGGGTCGCAGAGGCCGGGCCGGGAGCTGCCGCCTCACCTGCCCGCCGCCCGCGGGGGCCCGCTGCACTCGAGCGACAGCAGCCATCCTGAGGCGGCGGCCAGGCCGCGGCTGGCCCGTATGCTAGAGACCGCGACACCCAAACATACCGCCCCTTCATTGGCTCTGCGCAGACATACCCATCCAATCCCAAGAAGGGATACTGCGCTCATGACAGCGCCGACTACAAGCCCCGAAATGCACTTCGTTACGTGACTGCCTCACGAGGGCGTTAAGCCAATCCTATCCCGGCTTAAAACACGTTAAGGAGAGCGCTGCCAATCAGAGCCCGCTATGGGAACGGGGGGGCTGCTGAGGCGCGAAGCTGTCGGCCGCTGTGGTGTGAGGGTGGTGGTCATGGCGGCGGCGCTGAGGGGGTGCGGGCGGGCAGTGCCGTTCATCGCCGTGCTGAAGCTGCTCCTGCTCCTCGGGGCTGCACTGGGCTCTGCCCGGGCCACGGTGTATTTCCAGGAGCAGTTTCTGGATGGAGGTTGGGCGAGGGCAGGGGGTTCAAGGGTAGAGGGGGCGGTGGGGCAGCTGCCGGTAATAACGGCTGTGAGTGTGTAAGCTGGTGGGGAGGGAGCCCCCTCCGCCCCTTACCGTCCTGACTCTGTTCCTGTGTTGTTGCTGGTGCTGACTGCATGGGACAGCCAAGTGGAGGAAGAGGTGGATGAATTCTGAGTACAAACCAGACTTTGGGAAGTTCAGACTCACTGCAGGGAAGTTTTATGGAGATCCAGTACTAGATAAAGGTATTTGAGTTTCATTCAAACTATGCCATGGGAGCCATCTCTAGAATCAAGGATATCATAGAATCCTAGACTGGTTTGGGTTCAAAGGGACCTTAGAGCTCCTCCCGCTCCAACCCCTGCCACGGGCAGGGACCCCTTCCACTGGAGCAGCTTGCTCCAAGCCCCTGTGTCCAACCTGGCCTTGAACACTGCCAGGGATGGGGCAGCCACAGCTTCTCTGGGCACCCTGTGCCAGCGCCTCAGCACCCTCACAGGGAAGAGCTTCTGCCTCAGAGCTCATCTCAGTCTCCCCTCGGGCAGGTTCAAGCCATTCCCCTTGGCCTGTCCCTACAGGCCCTTGTGCCAAGCCCCTCTCTGGGTTTCCTGTAGCCCCTTTAGGCACTGGAGCTGCTCTAAGGTCTCCCTGGAGCCTTCTGCTCTCCAAGTTGAGCAACCCCTTTGTATATATTTATATATTTGCATTTATAGGTGTGCCATGCATGGCAATAAAATTATTTTTTTCTTTGCAAATGGGGAAAAAATGTAAGTTTGATTATTATACTAGTATCTTTGCAGGTCTACAAACTACTGAAAACTTTAAGTTTTATGCCATCTCATCACGATTTAAACCATTCAGTAACAAAGGGAAGACTTTGGTCATCCAATACACAGTGAAACATGAGCAGAAGATAGATTGTGGTGGGGGGTATGTTAAGATTTTTCCCTCAAACTTGGACCAGAAGAAGCTCAGCGGAGATTCACATTATTACATCATGTTTGGTGAGTTTGGAGTTATTACTTCATTACTAAAATACTGTCACTGCTGTTGTGCAGTTCTTCTAAAGATGGTTGTGGAAATGGAGGAAAAATTGTAGAGGAAGGCTGTCTTAAAGAAATCAGGATGTTGTGACTGTAAGGAGATTTTCTGTCTTTTCTTGCAAAGAAGTTAAGAAATGCAAGGCATGTGATCTCTTTGTAGGGCCAGATATTTGTGGATCTGATACAAAGAAAGTCCATGTTATTTTAAATTACAAGAATAAACCCCATCCAATCAAGAAACTGATCAGATGCAAGGTAAATACACATTTCAAGGATATATAAACTTTAAAATAAGCAAGTTACAGGGATATGAGGATGAAAAAACAAAAAGAAACTATTGCAAACATGTAATACCTTTGAGTGTCATCGTATCTTCCATCATATTGATTTTCGGACTTCAGATATTTCTTAGTTGATAATATGTTTGCAATTTAATCATTGCATTTCTAACACCTGCTACTGATGCAGGATGGAACAGGGTTGCAAGGGTGCTGCATGTTATTAAAAATTGTATATCACTGAGTGTTTTAACTGCAACTTTAATTCCACATTTCCTAGTGAGAGGGCCCTTTCCTTTGATATGTAGACACTTGGGGAATGCAGTATTTTTTCTTACTACTCTTTATGAAAAATCCATTAGAAATTAGGAGTATAAGTCTGGTGTGAGGCAATTCCCAAGATCTGTATTTAAGGTTCTTAACAAATGTTCTTTCTTTAAAAACTGCATTCTTTAAAACCCAGGTTGATGGCTATACCCATCTCTATACTTTGATTATAAGGCCAGATCAGACTTACAAAGTAAAAATTGATAATGAAATGGTTGCATCTGGCAACTTAGAAGATGATTTAGATTTTTTGCCACCCAAGAAAATTAATGATCCAGCGGTGAAGAAACCAGTGGACTGGGATGATCGAATCGAAATTGATGATCCAAACGATGTCAAACCTGAGGTAATTTGCTCTCCTTATTCTGCATTGCTGGGTGATTTCATTTCTACTGCCTGCATGTTTGATGTAGTTGAACTGTGCACTAGTTTTGCTTTCTTAATCTTTTTAAAGGATTGGGATGAGCCTGAATACATCATGGACATGAGTGCTGAGAAACCTGCAGATTGGGATGATGCTGTGAATGGAGAATGGCATTATCCTAGGGTCAAGAATCCTCTATACAGAGTATAAATAATTTTGTAATCTTGACTACATATAACACTTTAAGGAACTTTTATTTGCCTGACTTTATTCAGAACATGTGGTTTATCCTAGGGGGAATGGAAACCAAGGCAGATTGATAACCCAAATTATAGAGGAGTTTGGCCTCATCCACAGATTGACAATCCAAATTATTCACCAGACTATAGCATCTACAGCTTTGAAAATATTAGTGTCATTGGACTTGATATCTGGCAGGTGAGATGCCTATAGTGAAAAATAAAGCAACTTTTCTTTCACTGAGTATATACCAACCTGTTTATGCTTTGCATAGAAACATTATCTGTTGCTTTTGGATCTGACGGACCTTTGTCTTTAGCTTACTTTTATGTAAATATGTGTACAGAATTGAAAAACCTGTAAAAGACACTGATCTTCTGTTGTAGTTATTCTTTGGATGATAATCATCCACAGGTAAGTGAGGGGCCTAAAATAATTGGTGTGAATACTGTGAAGTCTGGCTTATTCCATCTGTCTTGAGGTCCATAACTGAAGCTTCAAGCAGCTCAGTTATTCCTTTTTTTCTTTTCCTTATTCCTTCAAAGGTGAGAGCTGGCACAATTTTTGACAACTTCTTGATAACAGATGATGAGGAATATGCAGAAGACTTTGGTGATGAAACATGGGGAGAAACAAAGGTAACAAAAACTTCTTGTTTCTGTTTTGGTTCTGTATGACCACATTTGAAAAATGCCCTGTTGGGTCTGATCAAGAACCTCTCGGTGCCCAAAAATGGCATCTTAATATTAGGGTCCTGAAAAGGAAATGTACATAAAGCAGACTGAGGAAGAGCAAGCGAGAGAAAGGGCTACAGAAGAAAAGTACTTTGAGCAACAGTTTAAGAAGAAGCTAGAGAGAAAAACACAATCTGGAAGGGACAGAGCAGAGAAGAACACTGACACCAAGACAGAGCTTTAATTGGCATTTGAAAAAAGTTCATATATTTTCACTGAAGTTACTTAGGAATATTTTCACTGAAGGATTTTGATGTTTGTTAACCGTGTGTTGAAATCTGCACCAGTGGAGTTGTAGCAAAACAGGGTTCTTAAAAAAAATTAGCATTGAATTTTGTGACCAGTTTCCATTTAATGAAAAATACAACAGAGTTAAATTATCTATAGAGAAGGTTAATTTTTTTCTTTTTTTCTTAACTGCTTTTCTTTACACTGCTAAGATGTGTTAGAAACACCTGTAATAAAGCACTGTGTTTTGGAACAGTTACATGTTAGTGGTTTCATATGAAATGTAAAATTCATGCTCATTTTTTGTTGAGGAGATACCCTCATAAGCTTTTTATGGTATTTCCTTAGAGGGTTCAGCATGTCAACTGCGTGAAGCGTGTTTCACAGCATACTTCAGCCTAAGGAGATCAGCTCTGCTGAGCTGCCGCAGTCATTGTGCGCCTGTCAGAGTTTCACCCGTCACCGAGCTGCGAATGCACCGTGGCTGCTCTACCGTGGCTGCTCTGCCATGGCTTATCCGCTGACAGAATGTTCTAGTGCTCTGTGGTGGTGTGGGGCTGAGTGACAACAGGCTGTCCATCCGCAAATCTGTCCTTAGGAGTTCAAATGTGTTCAGACAACTTGTATTTTCCCCCCAGTTAGGGTGGTGAGGCGGGAAGTTGAAACCATGATGTGTCTTTTTCTGTCTGACCTGCTCTGTAACTCACTCTTGTAACTTGTTCCGTCACTTCCTTCATCCCTTCTCATGTCCTCTTGCTCTTTTACATTTCCTTTTCCTCCCCTATGAACTAATGCTATAGATTTAGCAAAAACTGAGGCCAGGCTTCCAGAGCCGTGGTTTTGCATTTTCCCCTGGGCTGAGCGAAGTGTGTGGTAAGGAGATAAGGAGTGGGAGGATCTGTAAAAGCCCAACTGAAGCTGGGTGGCTTTTGCCTGTGGAGTGACTGAGGTCAAATTCTTTCCCTTCTGCTTGTCTGGGGGCTGTCCCCTGTACAACAGTTCCAGTGATGCTATGGGTTGAAGAACTTTGACAGCTATTGAAATACGCTGCAGCAGCAGTTGTCCTGTACTTGTTTTCCCCTGAACAAATTCCTGATGATTTATTTCTCATATGGCCACAGTGATTTATACACTGCTGTAAATGGGTTAAAACTTAAACAGGGGAAGTTTAGATTGGATATAAGGAGGAAATTCTTTCCTGTTAGAGTGGTGAGGCACTGGAATGGGTTGCCCAGGGAGGTTGTGAATGCTCCATCCCTGGTAGTGTTCAAGACCAGGCTGGATGAAGCTTGGGTAAGATGGTTTAGCGTGAGGTGTCCCTGCCCATGGCAGGGGGGTTGGAACTTGATGATCTTAAGGTCCTTTCCAACCCTAACTATTCTATGATTCTATGATTTCTTCATTTTTTTTTGTATTTGATGCTAAAAATGCAGTCACAGACCGGAGGGAGCTTAGCTTGAAGTCCGTTTTGACAAGGTTGAGTGAAGTAAAATAACTGGGTTTATCCAGGAGCAAGCGGGATGCAAGTCCATTAGTTACCTGGAGGAACGCTCCGCAGGGTCTCCCCTAGACCTACTTTGTCCATGCCGTAGGTAGGTCACCGCCAGGCAGCTGGCGCACCGCCGTGCCGGGGAGCGGGGAGGCTGCGGGAGGCAGGGACTGAGCTCTGCGGCCGGACTGAGCCGCGGGAGCAGCCCCGGCTTGGCGGGGTGGGGAACGGCTGCCGGGCACAGATAAAGCCGCGCTCGCTTTTGTGCCTGGGGCAGGGGAGCCTCCGGAGGCAGGCGACGAGCGGCAGCGGCCCAGCAGGCCCCAGCCCGGGCCGCGCGGTGCCAGGCGCGGCCGGGGCCTCCCGCCGCCGCTCGCCCCGCCTCCCCCCACCCCTCCCGCCCCGGCCGCTGCCCGAATCAGTGGGAGGAAGATGGCGGCGCTCATCCCCCTCAGCCAGCAGGTAACCGGCCCCGCCGGGGGCGGCTGAGGGGGGAACCCGGCCCTCCGGCCCCGGCGGTTGAGCTCCGATCGAGGAACAGGGACCGCGCCCGCCCCGGCGCCTTCCCCTCCCGCAGGCGGGTGTAGCCGGGGCCGGGTCGGCGCTGGGGCACAGGCCCTGCCTCTCCCCGCAGCCGGGGGGTGGCTCGGTGCGCGGCGGGAGCGGGTCGGTGCGCGGCGGGGAGCGGGCCCCGGGCTGGGGCGAGCAGCCCCCGACTGTCCCCCGCTGTCGGGCCGGGGCTGCGCGCCGGCTGGTTCTGGAGGGGCACAAAAGGCGCTGGCGCCCTCCCCTCATGGAGGCCCCGGAGCTGCCCCCCGGGGAGGGGCAGGGCAGCGGTGAGGCTCTCGGATCGCTTCCCCTCCCCGAGCTGCCGCTGCCGGGTTCGAGCTGCGGGGTTCCCGCTGGTGGTGGTCGGAGGTGCGGGGCTGGGCGGCAGGAGGGTGGGCTCGCTGTGTGCTGAGCCCCCGGCTTCGGCCTGCTCGTCACCATGCCTGTAACACGGGGTTAAGGCCGCCTTTAGCTGTCATGACTGGACTTAATGTCTGGGAGGTGCAGGAGCAGCGCAGCCACAGGCGCGGGCAGCCCAGCGGAGGAGCCGGTGGGGAGGAATGGGAAGGAGGTTTTCAGCAGACGGCTGGCAGGGGGATGAGGCTTCTGCAGGGAAGACCCTGAACCTTGGAGGCTCCCCCTCAGGGAGGGCGGCATGCCTCCGGGAGAGGCTGTCCTGAGCTCTGCTTTCATGTTTGGGATCCTTGGGGAGGTTGTTGTTGTTACAAGGCTTCTGATAGATGTCTCACCCAAATAATCTAAACCTGACCAGTGTGATCGCTGTTCATTCCTGTTTTACGCTCCTGTGAAGACAGTTAGCTTACTTGTTTCCTTTGAAACAGAAGCAGTGGCACCTCTCCACCTCCCAAGGCCTTGAGATGAAAACTGTTTTCTCCACCGTGGCTAGGCCAGTCAGGAATTCAGAACAACTGCTCTTGGTAGCTGGGATCGTTTAAACCTATTTCTTTTTAATAATGGGCTTTTATTTGTGATACTCTGAGAGTGTATCTTTACACTCTCAGAGTATCGGTGTTATGCGATGCTTGGGCAATATTTAATTTGTCTTATTAAGAGAGCGCACTGCTTTCTAGCTTCTGAATAGCAGTAAGAATCCCTATTAGCGTCTGTTGAATTAACATGTTCAGAAATGTCTGAAAACATCCATGCAAACTGTTATCCAAAGTTCTCAAGTGAAGTAATGTGGTGCACAATATATGTGTGACATGAACTCTGGACTGGAAAGAGTTTTGTTGTTGTGGAACTGCAAGAGTACATTGGTAAAAATATATCCAATATCTCTCGTGCTGGCATCCTGCTCCTGTGTTGTTTAAATTCCAGTTGATGCTTGAGAGACTGGCACCGATGGTATTTTCTTTTGTATGACATGTTGAGGGAAAAAGGACCCCATTCTGTGAATGTATCAGTTATTTTGACCTATTATTTTTCAGCTCATTCAATGGAAGCATTCTAGTGTTAAAACTTCTTTTACTGTATTGAACTGTCAAGAATAACCTAGTGGTAATCAGGGCAATAAGCAGGATTTCCCTGGAAATTGATGAACTTCCTCTTTTAATAGCCTCAAATTCATGTTTCCTGTAGAGAGATGTGCTAGTTATAATACATGACAGAAGTGGTATTAAAAGGAGTAGGAGAGGTTATATGTGTTGTAATGTTGGAGTATATTCACTCAGAAAGATATAAAATAAGACTGTTGCTATCAACATGTTAGGGTTATAGTCAGTACAGGTAATTCAAGCATGTGAAAGCGCTCAATGGTATTTGTTCTCATAAATGAATTTTATTACGCTTCTATTCCTCTATGAGGTTACATTTTTATTGTGTTTTTATGAATGAGAATTTAGATGTCTAACAGTTTGCAAACTGTTTAACCTTTCAGCTCTTCATGCAAAACCAGTTGAAGAGCAAGCATGTAAGATCAGTTCTTGGAGTTAGGTCCCGTTTTGGTTGTTGTTGTGCCTTTGATAACTTTATTTCCTTGAATATTTGGTCACCTTATCAGTGGTCTTTCCGCTGTGCCAGGCATGTTCACCCTACAGCCTTTGGAGGTTATGGAGTATTATGTTAGAGGTATTGGGGCAGCGCAGATCATTTGGTAGCTCAGTCTCTGAGACAACTCGGGATACTCAGCAGGTAGAGTAATGGCAAAGGTAATCTGAGGGCAGCAGCAGCCTTCTTTTTGCTCTCATATTTGTGGAACACCGTGTTTTTCCCCCTTTCACAGTACCTATTTTCATCCATCATAGGATGTGACAAGAATGGCTGAGAGAAAATTATGAAACAGGAGCACACCAAGGAAAATAATTCGTCTGATCCAATGTTCTTTATGGTCCTGAGGTCACCTCAGGAAAGAGGGCTGGTAGGAACTAACTTTATCAACTGCTCTGGTGGCAGCATCTTAACGCCTGCCTTTCCCCAGATCTGCATTAAGGGACATGGAGTTGTATCTCTGTGTGTAGTGTGCGCCACAAATGCAGAGTACCAGACCTGCTGTGAGAGTGCAAGTTTGAGACTTGAACTTCAGATCTGTACAGGAAATCAACTTAGAGGTCAAACAACAAGGAACCAGGGTTCTGAAGTGTGTCTTTGCGGGACAGTGTGGAGCGTTGCTCATCAGTGATGTTTTGGTGTGATGGAGTAGGTGTAGAAACCAGAGGGTTGTTAAACTGATCTGCTGTATAACAGGTTATAGCCTTTGACCACTCATCAGCTACACTCTTCAACATGTTTGTCTCTGCCAGCACTGACAGAATCTTGTGTAGGTTCTTCGTCAGCAGATGTCATCCAATTACTGAATTCTCTTGAATGATAGTGCTGGAGTCAGACATGGTGATGGGTGGGCAGGCAGCTATTTTTATCACTTGAGCCCATTTTGTCTGGTCTGCTTCATCACAGAGATGCAGTCATTTAGGTAAATCGGTCAGAGAGGCTTCATCTTTGTCAAACACTGAGTATCGAGTGAGGAAGTGCTTTCCAGCAGCACTTGCATGAATATATTGCTGTAGTCGAAACTTCACAGCATTTAAACACATCACCCTGGATTCCTGCCACCTCTGTCAGGTAAGTCAGCTGTATGTCACAGCTGACAGCATTGAATGAGGATGACAAGAATGCCTGGTGATGCGATGAGATGATTCAGTACTGCTAATGGAGTGGTATCTTGGTACGAATCCAGTCTCTGCGTGCTCTAGGATACTC